TAAAGGGGTATTTACGTATAATTTTCCAAGTTTACAAGATTAAGTGTAGTAATCAAATTTCCTTTAAACAAATTTCCTTTTGTTTATGATTGTCTATCTTATGGATGTTTATAGATCTTTTGCCGCTTTGGAGACCGGCCATGGAATGCTACTATAACAATGTCATGTAAGTAGCACTAAACATTACTATGACTATGCTTACAGTCGAAACTCCTTCGCTTACTCTTAGAGTTAGAGCTAGGCTCAAGTCTTAAAACCGTACGGTTAAAATGAATGAGTAGCTGTGTTTACTCTACAACTATATACATTCCATTGTTGTTTCCTTCTTGTATATGGTTCTTTTGCAACTCGTTATTCCATTTGTTTCTTCTCAGGGATGTTGGCAGGAAATTGCTTCGTTTAGTGGCTTTGGCGTTGAATTTGGAGGAAGACTTCTTTGAACGAGTGGGAGCGTTAAGTGATGAAGCACCAGTTGTACGCCTGTTACGTTATCCAGGTGTGTCACTAAATCTTGTTAGCATTTTGGAGATAGAATTAATGGCAAATGAGTCAGTGATTGAGGTTTCTTCTTTGTCACTCATATACAGGGGAGTTAAATCCATCTGGTGAAGTAACATGTGGGACCTCTGCTCATTCTGATTTTGGAATGATAACTCTTCTTGCAACAGACGGAGTTCCAGGGCTTCAAGTATCATCTCATAATTCTTAAACTTTGCTTATCGAAGCGATAGTTTCTTCTCCTTCGTTGTTCTAACAATGTTTACGTATAAATAGGTTTGTAGAAATAAAGATAAAGAACCAAACGTTTGGGAAGATGTCCCTGGAATTGAAGGGTAAGTAAGGATGCTTTGATTGACACTATTTATATAGTAAGGACTCTAAAACTTTATGAGGATTTTATGTGAAAAACCGCAGTGCTTTTGTTGTCAACATCGGCGACCTTATGGAGAGATGGACTAACGGGCTTTTCCGGTACCAAAAAATGCATAAAATCCGAACTTTTGAATTTGTAGTATCATCTCAGGAATTAATTTGATTTCAGACCTCTGTTTTTTGTTTTGTTTTGTAGATCAACACTGCATAGAGTGGTGTCAGTTGGAAAAGAACGTTACTCGGTACGATGTTTGCTTTTTTAAATCAAGTCTCGGTTTCACTAATCACATTATCGTGCATAGTAAACGATTAAATGTTGTTGATTTAATTTGTTGAAGGTGGCCGTATTCCTCGATCCAGACCCAAACTGTGTTGTGGAGTGCTTGGAGAGCTGTTGTAATGAATCATCTCCTCCAAGGTAAATTATATAACTCTCTTGATTTGTTGTTTCGTATTGTTTTTGGGTTGATTTTGTGCGGTTTTATAAAGTTTCGGTCTTTTAAAGAGGTTGATTGATTTAAACAATTTGTTGCCTCAGGTTCCCACCGGTCCGGGCCCAAGATTATTTCCACGAACGATTCAGCCAAACCCTAGCTTCGTATTCCACCGGCCTCAAAATATAATATGAGAAGCTTGAGCAATTCGAACAAATCGGAGTTCTTGGAATCTGTATTCAATTCTTGGAATGTGTGTGTGTTTTTGGTGTGGTTTGGTTTATTATCTTTCACTTCGTTTTGGGTCGTGCGTGCTATGTTTTTTTTATTGAAATCTACTTTTGTGTGTGTGTGTTTCTTTTCGTGGAACTGTTTGGTTTCTCTATATTCGTATAAGCCAAAGCCAATGTCATTGGCTTATTTGTAGAAATGAAACCTTACGATATGAGCCTCATGTTCACAATAGGTTTAATTTGTGATGCCACATTTTGTTGAGTCCATTGAGGCCCACTACTTCATTTGGATATCAGATCCACGTTTCACCTCGGAAGTTTAGACAAAGACGATCTCTACTATTGTTGATAAACTATTGGTTTTGTTTATGTCTGTAAGACATGTTTGGAACATGGATTCTTCTATGCCAAGAATCATGGCATCTCGGAAGAACTAATGGAAGAAGTTTTCAAGGAGAGCAAAGGCTTTTTTAATCTCCCTCTAGAGGAGAAGATGTCTCTACTCCGCCATGATTTGTTGGGATATACTTCCATTGTATTCCGAGAAACGCGATCCA